GGACCGGCTGAATCCCACCCCTGCTTTGGAGGCCCTGTAGACCAACGTTTCTCACCCTGGGCAACTTTTAAGACCTGAGGACTTCAACTCCCAGAATCCCCCGAGCAGCCCTGCCCTGGTCGAGTGATCAAATTTTGAGTGTTTGGCAACCGGGCTGTTTTACGGCAATTTGCAGGATTCTGCGCTCACTTGACTGTGATTTTTCCAACACTTTTTGGTGGTTTCTGCTGTTTTCTTACGGTTTCTGGCAGAAAACACCATGGGTGAAAATGCGTTTGCTTGACAAACTGTGGTGTTTGCTTAGTGACTATGGCGTCTGTTTAATAACCACTTCCAAAAAGATCGTAAAATCGGCGATAGCCGTGTGGTGACCCATTTAACGACCGTGACGACTTACAACTGTAATTCTATACTTAATTATAGTTGTAAGTTGAGGACTATCCATACCCAAGCCTGTTCCATCAAACTAAAGATTTCTGGGTGGGCTTCTGTGGGAAACTAAGGTTGAAAGCAATCACGCAGACGCTCAAATCACCGGAGCTTTGCGTCTTAATCAAGAGTTCCAGGAATTTTCTTTCGTTCTTTTTTTTTTTTTAAACTAATAAGTTCCGCAAATTGAAAAAGTTGGAGAGAAGAACATTGGACTGGTTTGAACTTCGTCTCATCTTACAAATCCTCCTTTCAGTAATCCTTACGAGACCGCTAAGTCAGGCTCACGGCACTCCAAGGAGTTATACCTTAACTATTAATAGAGACGGAGGCTTCCTGATTTTGCAAATTAGGAACGGATAAAGGATCGCGATGGTGACAAACGTAGCAGACAGAGGCAAGGCTAGTGGCCCACGATGTTCTTCTTCCAATTTGTCCTTCTGGAGGGGAATTTGATAGATGCTCATGGAGAATGAGAGCATGTTGGGAAAGCCAAGGGAACAATATTTCCTTTGCACCATTTTTATTTGCCTTTTTTAATCCCACCTTTATTATTTTATAAGTAACTCAAAGTGGGGAACATACATAGAACTCCTTCCTCCTTTATTTTCCCCACAACAACAACTCTATGAGATTGGTTGGGGTGTGAGAGAGGGACTGGCCCCCAGCTGAGTTTGGTGCCTAAGGTGGAACTAGAATTCACTGTCTCCTGGTGACTGGCCCAAAGTCACTCACGCCTTTCATGTCTAAGGCAGGACTAGAACTCGCTGTCTCCTGGTGACTGGCCCAAAATCACCCAGCTGACTTTCACACCTAAGGCAGGATTAGAACTCACTGTCCCCTGGTGACTGGCCCAAAGTCACCCACGTCTTTCACGCCTAAGGCAGGACTAGAAATCACAGCCTCCTAATGATTGGTCCAAAGGGCAGGATACAAATAAAAAAATAAAATAAATAAACTCACTGGGCCGGCTTTCACGCCTAAGGCAGGACTAGAACTCCCTGTCTCCTGGTTTCTAGCCCAGCAAGTTAACCACTACTGGCTCTCAATGATGCAGGAATTGGGAAGTGTGGGGGGATAACCAAGTGGGAGAAGTAAAAGCAGAAGTAAAAGCCGTTTAAAAACTACCATTCAAATAGGTGGCAAATTCAGACTGGGGAAAGAGAAGGTTGTGAGGCCAGCAAAGCCAGAGGGGGCGAGGATTAGGCACGGAGGTTTGGGATGCGGATGGGGAGAAAAGGGAGGGAAGGGAAACAGGGCAGCCTTTCCTTAAATCTGGCATGTGCCACAGGTGTCCAAAGGGCTTCAGCATCCCTTTGGCAGCCATCATCATCCTTAGGAAAAGTCTTGTGTTTTTCAGCTCTGCTCTTGCTTTTGGGGGAAAGGGGGGGCGAGCAGTTGTGAGGTATGCAGGGGAAAATGGATACCTTGAGCTTTGCACTCTCACTTCAGTTTCCCCCCCCAAAGACCCTCCCCCAAACTGGATTTGCAAAGTGCAAATTTCAACCTGCCCAAAATGATGCACCCCTGATTTAAAAAGTCATGTCTGGCTCAAGCAACTGGGGCGCCAAGCTCTGATTTCCTCTGAACCCGACGATTGCATTAATCCGGGTTGTCCCAAACAACACCAGAGCGTCAGAAGGCTTTGGTTGATGCAACCTGCTGCAAAGCAGGATTTTTTTTGGAGGGGGAGGGGGAAGAGGAGTCCTGCCTTTCCTTAACAGAAAGACTGCAGTGGGTTCCTTCTCCAGAGGAAGGTTGCTCTGTGCATAGCCAGAGGCAAACTTCCTTTGCAAAACAGTGTAAATGCCAATAACCGATTAATAGAATAGCAGAGTCAGAAGGGACCTTGGAGGTCTTCTAGTCCAACCCCCTGCTCAGGCAGGAAATCCTAAGCCATTTCAGACCAATGACTGTCCAATCTTTTCTTAAAAACTTCCAGTGTTGGAATACCCACAACTTCTGGAGGCAAGTTGTTCCAGGATGCTTTTTTAATACACACACACACACACACACACATAAATCGAAGACTACCTGTATATTATAGTTCAGGGGTAGGCAACCTTGGCTCTTTTATGACTGGTGGACTTTAACTCCCAGAATTCCTGAGCCAGCATGGCTCAGCTTGGAAACCTCTCCCTTTCCCCTCAGCATGGCTGGCTCAGGAATTCTGGCAGTTGAAGTCCACGAGTCATACAAGAGCCAAGGTTGCCTACCCCTGTTATAGTTAAATACAATATAGGTAGTCCTGGACTTACAACTGTTCACTTAGTGACTGTTTGATGTTACAACAGTGCTAAAAAAAAGTCGACTTATGATCGGTCATTGCACTTGGGACGGTGGCAGCCTTCTCACGGTCAGGTGATCCAAGTTTGGACACCTGATAACCGGTGTGTATTTACAACAGTTGCAGTATCCAGCAGGGTGTGTGTGTGTGTGTGTGTGTGTGTGTGTGTGTGACGTGATCGCCATTTCTGACCTTCCCAGCTGACCTCCAACAAGCGAAGTCCATAGGGACAAGTGAGATCCACCTAATGTTGCTGCGATTTGCTTAATGACTGTGGAGATTCCCTTCATACCCATGGCAAAAATGGTCACAAAATGAGAGGCGGTTCGCTTAACGACCAGCTTACTTAGCTATGGAAATTCTGGCCCTCATTGGGGGTCAAAGGTTTTGGCTGTGAGAATTACCTGGGGCTGCTCCCTTTTTTGGCTTAACACAGTGGCACAGATGGGGCCTCAAAAAGAAAGTGGGGGGGGCAGAGACCACTCCCCAGGATACACACAAATGGTGGGATTCAAACATGTGAACAGATGGTTGTCTGTGTGGATGCTGCTTCCGGAAGTCCATTCTGGGCCTGGGCAACAAAAAAATTAGCTACCGGTTCTGTCGAACTGGTGCAAACTGGCTGAATCCCATCACTCTCTCTCTCTCTCTCTCTCTCTCTCTCTCTCTCTCTCTATCTATCTATCTATCTATCTATCTATCTATCTATCTATCATCTATCTATCCATCCATCCAGTGGTGGGATTCAAACATGTGAACAGCCGATTCTCCGTGTGCATGCCGCTTCCGGAAGTCCATTCTGGGCCTGGGCAACAAAAAATTAGCTACCGGTTCTGCCGAAGTGGTGTGAACCGGCTGAATCCCAACACTGATACACACCCATGCTTGGGGGGGGGGGAGTGCAGGGAAATGAAACCAGTCCCTTCCTTCAATTCTCCACCCCCTCCCCACCCCCCAGGAAATTGTTTGTTTCATCAGCAGTGAAAGAGTCAACCTGTCAGATGTTCTGTTTCCCTGCCTCTCAGTCCTTGGCACAAGTCCCCGGTTTTTACGCAACCGATATAATCACTTAATACTCACTAGGGAACATGCACAGGAGCACACAAACACACCCGCCCGCATACACACGCACACCAGCTCATTATGTCAATAACCCTAAGAGAAGTTTAGAGAAGGCTGTGGCCCTGCAGGGGCTCGTCACAGATGGGGGCACCTGGTGGGCCCCTCTCTCTGCGTCGCTCTTTCTCCCGTCTTTCCAGATGTTCCTCCACCAGGTGTGACCCCCCCCCAAAAGCCACAGGATGGAACTGCAGTTGGAAAGGCTGAGAACAGGCCAGATTTAGGCTCAGCATCCCGCCTGAAGGGGACATCTGTGCCTAGCACACATGTTTCCACTTCACCCTTTCCTCAACCTGGCATGGGGACTTCGGGAGTGGCTGTTCTCCCCATCTTCTGTCACGTCCTTCAGGTTGCCAAGCTAGAGAGAAGTTCCCTGAGGTTTCAGCATGAGTCTGAAAGCTCGGAAGCAATAGTAATAGCACTTAGACTTATATACCGCTTCACAGTGCTTTACAGCCCTCTCTAAGTGGTTTACAGACTCAGCCTGTTGCCCCCCAACAATCCAGGTCCTCAGAAGGATGGAAGGCCGAGTCAACCTTGAGCTGGTGAGGATCGAACTGCTGAACAGCTGGCAGCCAGCAGTCAGCAGAAGTAGCCTGCAGTACTGCATTCTAACAGCTGCACCACCAGGGCTCACCCTTCCTTCCTTCCTTCCTTCCTTCCTTCCTTCCTTCCTTCCTTCCTTCCTTCCTTCCTTCCTTCCTTCCTTCCTTCCTTCCTTCGGACGTAGCAATAGCCCTTAGACTTATATACCGCTTCACAGTGCTTTACAGCCCTCTCTAAGCAGTTTACAGAGTCAGCCTATGGCCCCCAAACAATCTGAGTCCTCATTTTACTGACCTTGGAAGGAGGGAAGGCTGAGTCAACCTTGAGCTGGTGAGAATCGAACTGCCGAACTGCTGGCAGCCGGCAGTTAGCAGAAAAAAAAGTAGCCTGCAGTACTGCATTCTAACCACTGTGCCAGCATGGAAGACAAAATGTCCCAGTGACCGAACCAGATTGGATCCTGCATCATTCAGGTTTTCTTAAGAACACTGAGAGCCCCAGGCCATTCAGGATGCTGGTGGCAGCATTGGCAGCCAGTGACCGGCATTTAATCACGCCTGACCTCACCTGGACACAGCAAAATTAGGCCACTGGGCCGTGGACTTGTTGACCCAGGTACCACGGCCATTCTACCTGGCTGTGCTCCAGAGGAGATGAAGGCATTCCGTGCCCGGAGCATGGCAAGGGTGTGTTGGAAAAAAAACCCCAGGTGTGCTTGGAATGGATGGAAAACAGGAGGTTACAGAGTGCAATGTAGTCAAGAACCAAACAGGGCTGGGAGGTTTTGGATTTTCGAGTTTCACAGCAGCCGAGGTTGCCGAGGCTTCTTGCCCAGCAAGAAGCAGGAAACCAAATGGTGGGTGAACTGCCAATTAACCCCCTGCCCCCTTTTATAAATAATCTGCTAACAGATTTAGCAATTTAGCAAACAGAGGGCAACTTGGGTACGAGAAGAGAAGTACAGAAATCTCTTTCTGCATTGATTTGGGTTCAACTCACCTTTCAGTGCTGGGTTGTAGCAAATGGGGGCTCATCCTCCCCCCCATTTCCCTGATTCCATGGAAAATGCACAGGCCCCCCCCATCCCAATTCAAATTCTGAAGCCTCTTACCGGATTCTCCTTGCTCAGGATGTCTGTCTGGCTGTCAGTCCACTCCCACTGCTGAACAGAGCAACGGCTAGTAGGGCGCAGGGTGGGGGTGATGACTTCCGGGGTGGAGCCGTGCAAGCCAGGGCCCGGAGAGCGCCCCCCTTTGCGGCTGTAGGACTCCAGGTAGTCCTGGACATAATCCGAGTGTCTGCTGGGCTGGTAAAGTCCTTGGATGCTACAGAGCTCTTGTCGGGGGCGGGTGACGAAGGGGCTGCGGGTCGAGGTGGAGGGGTAGGGGTCTGAGGACAGGTGCATGGAGGAGAGGTCCCGGGCCAAGTCGGAATGGCTGCTGGATTTCTTGCGTCCCAGTGGGGTGGAGCCATAGCTGGTCGAGGGCCCGTTTGCAAAGGAGTAGGTGGCCCCTCCACTCAGCCCTCCGGCAGGCCGGACAGGGACCCGACTGTACCCGGGGCTCAGTCTGGTGCCCGAGTCCGGGCGCTGGAGCAGCCTCCCACCCCCATCAAAGTTCAAGGAAGAGGAGGAGGTGGCCCCCGACGTCCGCAGGTGGGTAGAAGTCAAGTAGCTGGAAGGAGTGGTGGGCTTGTAGTTGAGCTTCTCTTTGTCTGAGTAGGAGGAGGAGAGCTTGGAAGAGTAGGAGGAATAGGTGGCATAGCTGGTGGAGGCTTTGCTGCAAGGCAAGGTGTCCGAGTAGCGGGGAGAGTCCACGTAGCGCTTCAAGGTGGAAGAGAGCTGGGACATCCTGAGGGAGGGGGCGCTGGGGGAGATGCGGGTGGCATTGACTGCAAGACAGCAAAAGCAGGAACCAGTTAGCTGGAGGGGCTGGCATGAAGGGGGTCCTTGCCCCCCTTCAGGATCAGTAGAAAGACAAGACCCAATGGCCTTCCAACAATGGTTGGCCAACCAATTCTTCATGTCCCACCATTGACTGAATCCATGAAGTCAACTGGGAACATCTGCTAGTCAACCAGGCATGATCTAGGAAGCCTAGAAGGGTTGACTCTGGTCAGTTCTTGGAAGGAGACATATCTGGCATGGGGGGACCATGGTTGCTGGCTGGACTGGGAGATCAACCCTCCCCTTCCCTCAAGTTGATTCAACCCACCACTGTATTATACCCAGAAGATATGAATTTGTCTACAAAAGTTGCCAGAAATTGGGCTCAACTTCAAGCAGGCATGACTTGAATCCAAAATCTGGATTTCAAAAGACTTGAGATAGAAAGAGGCGGTTCCAAAATCCAGATGATTGCCAAGAAAACCACACAGAATGTGTCCAGATAATTTTCTTGGAGGCTACAATCATATCTAGTAGGACCTGTTCATCCAGGATGGTATTTTGACTTCCAATTCAATCTACTTCAATGGTCTTCCACTCAAGCCACAATTACTATTACGACTAGTGTTATTACTTTTACTGCTATCACGATCATCATTGTTATCTAAACAGAAAAATGCCATCAACAGAATGGAAAATAAGATAAATAGTGGCTAAATAGGGAGAAAAAACTGAATAACAAAATAACAGAGCTGGAAGGTACCTTGGAGGTCTTCTAGTCCAGCCCTCTGCTCAGGCAGGAAACCCTACACCAGAGGTCCCCAACCTTTTGGACACCAGGGACCGGTTCCGTGGAGAGAGATTTTGAAGGATTGAAGGGGGTGTGGTTTTGTGATATCTCACAGATGGGCCTTTGCTTGTTTGTGTGGACCGGTTGCTGGCATGCTGTGGCCCGATAACCGGTCCACAGACAAATGGCTGTCCAATCATTTCTTTAAAATTTCCAGTGCTGGAGCACCCACAACTTCTGGAAGCAAATTGTTTCACTGATTTAATCACTGATATGGTGATTAAGTTAAATGTGACAAAAAAGGAGGAAAAAGGAGGGGGAAAAAGAGAGATATCCATATAACAACCATTGGCCTTGATAGCAAGTTAACCTACTCTTTCAGCTAATGAAATCTTGACCAGATATATGCATTTTGCTTCACCTTCTCATTTCTGGAACACGCAATACTTTTCCAAAATAGATAACAAACCCATTTCCTGAATATGTTTGTTAGTATCAAGAAGGTAAATGTCTTCCCGTTTACATAAAACCATCCTCTCTGTCGTGCCCCACTTGTTCAACCCTTCAGTTCTTTGATTCTATGAGTGCTCCATCTCAACCCACTTGTCCCCTCCAAAATATTCTATGCCATCCTTCCCGATGCATCGTGCTTCCATCATTTTAACCCAGCTTGGCCTCCCATGATGAGAATTGTAGCCCCACATCTGAAGACTGATGACCTTGAAAAAAGTCCCACTCTTTTCGTCAGGATTTAAAAAAAGAAAGAAAAGAAAGAATTGGAAGCGTCAGGAGACACGAAGGTGACTTGTGCCTCCTGCTGGTAAAATGTCATTTTGCAAAAGAAAACAGGCAATTTAAGAATTATAAAATAACTACACAGGCTTGGTTCACACAAGTTCAGCCAAAGTGGGTCAAAGAAGCAAAAACTTCTTTTAAATTATTGTACACACGACATGAAGCCACCACCCCCAGTTGGTCTAGCTGGTGTTGACCTTCATGCACACCATGTTCTTTCTAAGAATCTAGAATGTTCTAAACGTATCAAATCGGTGAGGATCCAAGCGATGTTTGCCCTTTTGCAGTTGACAGATGGAAATTTTGCCAATACACGGGTTTTCTAAATGTCCTTTAAATTTTTGTTTTGCACAGCCAGATACTTAGACTAGATTTGGCATTTTTGTCCACCTACCGAGTCCTTCCCAAGGACCTGAGATAGGTAGATGTTGTTGTTTGATGGTCTTGGTGCAGGATGTAAGCTGTTCCAATTAAAGCTGCTTTTTGCAGTTGATTTTGACAGTGATTTTGTCAATGCCAATGGTGTTCAAGGGATGGTCAAGATCTTTTGGGATTGCACACCAATAGATATAGGTGCCATCTTTGCTTCTTTTTGCCACCGTGATTCCACTTCTATTTGCAGGTCTTTGTGATTTTCCCCCAATTCTTTCTCTTCTCTTCTCTTCTGCTGTCTCCAGGTACTGCAACATCCACTGATTATTATTATTTAAAAATATCATTAGGCGTTTCATCAGACACAACCCACAACTCTAGGGATACAACAGGGAACTGTAAGTTGAAAGGTCGGAAGAAAGGCAGAGGGGTATGTTTACTTTCCATGACAATTCTGGAATAACTTTAAAGCTCAGAGAATAGAATAGAGCTGGAGGGGACCTAGGAGTTCTTCTAGTCCAACCCCCTGCTTGAGCAGAAGACCCTATACTATTTGAGACAAATGAGATAGTCTCTTCTTGAAAGCCTCCAGTGATGGAGCACCCATAACTTCTGGAGGCAAGCTGTTCCACTGGTTGATTGTCCTCACTGTCAGGAAGTTTCTCCTTAATTCCAGATTGCTTCTTTCTTTGATCAGTTTCCAACCATTGTTTCTTGTCCTGCCTTTGGGTGCTTTGGAGAATAGGTTGACCTCCTCTTCTTTGTGGCAGCCCCTCAAATATTGGAAGACTGCTATCATGTCCCCCCTCGTCCTTCTTTTCATTAGACAGGCACACCCAATTCCTGCAAACGTTCTTCGTAGGTCAGACTCTGTATTTTTTAAAAAGCCTGGATTTTACACCATCCTTTCCTAACCAAATCTCCAGATGTGCTGGGACCAGATCTTTTCTCATCCAGCTTCTCTGCTATTTTACAACCCCAGTGAAAACTGGGAGAGAAAAACTCCACCATCTGGATTCCTACCTGCCTTTCAATTCTTCAACGCTCAAGAAAACCAAGCGGGGACGGAAGATGTTAATTCTTGCACGGAAGATCTGGGAACAGCCTGTTCTCCAGGGAGGAGTCCTCTTTCAACACACCGTTGACACCTGGAGAGAAGCTTTCTCCAGCTCACCTGCTTGGGATGCCTCCCGAGCAGCTCACCTTCTCACATGACTCTTTGCTGCCTTGTGCTTCTCTCAGGTCATTAAGTGCCGGCACAAGAGAGGCTGTCCAGGTCTCGTGGGAGCCTGTCACTGCAGCGGTGGCACATGATAGCCTGGGGCACACAGGGTCCAGCTCAGGAGTCTCCGACATCTCTCAAACCCCAGGGCTGTAATGTTCTTCTGCGCACAATAAGCGACACACAAAGGCTGCCTTCTAGCGGCCTTTGGAAAGCAACACACTCCTTCTTGCAAGCTTCCTCTGCTCAACCTGAGCTCTTCAAGAATCAAGAAGCCAACTGGCTGCCTTCTTTATTTTCCAAACAAGACTGAAATAAGGGCACAACACCCCCTTGGTCCTTTTTCACAAGGCCTTTTGGTGTGCCTGAAATACAACTTGTAATCTGATGTTCTTCTGCTTCTGATGGGTTGGGTGAATGTGTCCTCCTAGAGCCCTGAGGGGACTTTCCACTCTGCCCTCTCTGGGTTTTTTTTCTTTCTTGAAACTCAACCATCCATGTTTATCCATCCATCCTCCATCCATCCTTTACCCAACCTTTCTATTCATCCATTCCGCTATCCATCCATTCCACTATCCATCCATCTTTCATACAAGAGCTCAAAGCAGCCTACACAGCCCTGGGTCTTCCTACTTTTCCCCACAGAACAAACCTACGAAGTAGGTTGGGCGGAGAGACTGTGACTTCTGCTGTGTTGGATGAATCCTTCTTGCTGCAGCCCAGAGGGGACTTTCCATCTTGCCCTTCGCTGACATTTCTCTATTTTCTTGAAACTCAATCCTTCAATGTAACCAGAAAAGCAAAATTCCTCTCCAGGCAAGGTTGACTTGCCAAGGCTCCAGGAGCCCAGCTGGTCAGTTTTCTTGGCAACCAACTAGAAGTAGTGGACCACGTCTTCTTCTTGGGACCCTCTTTTAGCTTTGGGATGCTCCAACAGTTCAATTCCAGGTCCTCCTTACTCAGTTAGAGCCATGGTGTCCTACAAGGTCCCTCACCTGTCCTCCTTCTGTCTCTGGTTCAAGACCAAGGTCTTGACCAACAAGACCATTTTTCCTAGATTTCATCTATTCAAGTCATCCATACCAATGTTTACACAACCAAGTCTCACTCTTCGTGTACAATAAGAGGGCAGTTTCAAGACCGGGAGTCCTGATGTTTGTAGAAACACCACAAACTTCTTGGGGGAGGGAAACCCCATGAGAACACCCCTCTGAGTGTTCACCCTCTGGGTGAAATCCTCTCTCAAAATTCAGTGAGGTGGGAGGTGCCACTGGGTTCACACACAAGGCCAACCCCCAGATGTGCTTTGTTTGGCTTTGTGCTTGCACACCTGTGTGAGTGTGCATCTTTTAAACCTAAGCCCAGCTTAGCATCATAAGTGACTCAAGATCATGGGAGTCCAGGAGAAGCTAGGATAAGATCATGCCTTCCATGACATCATTTGTCATCTGCCTGATGCACCTCACATCATCCACCCAGTCCTGTGAGGCCTGTGACAGCACTCTTCTTTGCCTCCTTCCCCCTCCAGAGCCCTGGTTCCCCTAGACAAGGATCATGGAATTGGTTGCCCTCCACCAATCACTCTGGGCGTCCCTCACCACTGTGGGCGACCAGCAGAGATTGTGGGAGGGAAATAGTTCAGAAAAAAATGGAGGGGGGCAGTGATCCACCTCCCTTCAAGCAGTGATGGTATTACTTAGTTGGATCATGAAACATCTGCAAGACCAATCAAGGAGAATATTTGTAGCTCAGGGTTGAAATTAGGCGTCCTTGTGCTCTGTGAGC